AAGCCTCTTTTCGGTGCCAAGGCTTCAGCTGTCAGCCATCCACGAGAATGGCGCGGGCTTGGACCTTTGCCATGCGCCGTCTACCTACGCTATCGAAACCTGAAGGAGACTCCCCCAATCAAAGGGTGCAAACTGGTATATGTCAACCGAGCCACGAGGCAAAATAGTGGTGAGAGAACCTTACCCGGGACCATGGTACACTCTCGCGGGAACCACTGTTTGGTCTTTGCCAAGGCCATGCTTGAACGGCTGGTGAAGAACCCCTGTCTCATTTCTTGTCTATCCTATGTCTCACCCCGGTCCCATCTTCGTTGCACTTGCCACCAAAGTTCTTCATTCACGGCGCTGGTGAGATAGCTACTCGGACCATCGGCATCCACGTGGCCGTCCCTCACCTTTCCGGTCAACCTTGGTCTCCTTCGTTGTACATCTGCCTATTATATCTGCCAAGTGACGGTCTCCTGGTCCATGGCAAACCCCACGGGTTTTCAGTGGGACAGGTACCATGTTAAGCTTCGTCGGGATATAGGGAGCGGTGTCGTTAATGTCTCGGACAGAGCAGTCTCAGTTTCCGAGTCCAATCAATCAACTGGCACTTGACACAGTGGAACGGAACGACCCGAAAGGAAAACCATTGCGTTCAACGACATGGATTCCGACGCTGGACTTCGCAGGCAACCCTTCCTCTCATGCCGACTGGGACTGCGCTGGTTGAGGTACGGGAAACGGCGACTTCGATCTTGCTTCCCCGATATATTCATGAAAAGAGCCAGCCAGCCTCTGAAGTGAACTCCTAATTACAAAGCATTCGCCAACGCGCAACCGCCAGCCCCCCTCCTTATTTCGCCAGAGCTATTTTCTTCATCTCCTCAAAGTTAGGGATTCCCAGTCCCGTCACGGGATCCCATCCTTGCGTGCTGTTCCACGTCGCGAAGGGAATGACGCCGGCACCCTGCAAAGGTTTGCCTGATTGCAGATTAATACCGCCGCATCCCTTTGCGCCGCCCGCGGTAACGTCCGTCAATCCACTGAAGCCCCTCTTGTAGAGCCACGGGTTCATGAAGCCCATGGTCGGCTGACCCGCGCGAATCCGGGCGTCGTTGAGAAGCCCGACCAAACCAGCAACCAACGGGCAGGCGGCCGAAGTGCCGCCTGAACCGACGAGCTTGCTGGCGAGGACGACGGGGAACGGAGGGCTGGCAGAGTGTGCCGCGATATCGGGGAACCCTCGGCCGCTGAAGTTGGTGAACGGCTGGTAGTAGGCCTTGGTGTCGGCCGAGATGCCGCTTTGAAGGTACTGGTTCACGGCGCCCTCCTGGTACCACGCTTGCTTGAAGTAGTTGCTGAAGCCGCTGCCGGAAGCGATCCAGGCGATCTCCGGGCCGAACGCCTGTGTGCCGCCCACGGCGGTGATGTACGGGCACGAGGCAGGGAACTGCGGCGTGAACTGGACAGCGTCGCTGCCGTCGTTGGCGCGGCACGACGCGCCGACGCCCGTGTCACCGCTGGACTCGAGCACGGTGATGCCGCGCAGGCCCATCATGCCGATGAGGTTGCACACACGCGTGGCATACTCGATGGGCACGGTCTGCTCGTCGTCGCCGTACGACACGGAGAGCACTTGCGGGATCTTGTCGTTCTCCTGCGTCATCATGAACTGGTAAAAGTCGAGGAACGGCTCGTTCTGATTGTCCGCCTGGGTCGGGCTGCCCAGGTTGGGCACCAGAAGCCCCGAGCCGCCGGTGATGTACTGCGTGATTGGCAGGGACTTGACCGTGGCGGCCATGATCTGGGCGTCGAGGTTCGCCTCGCCGATGTCGCCATTGGGGTCCTGGTGGTCCAGCCCGCCGTCGATGAGGACGCTGGTGAAGTTTTGGCTCGGCAGTTGGAACCTGTCCAGGAAGGTAGTGAGGTCCTCCTGGCGGGCCGACTGGTTGAGGAAGCTGGCGAAGCCGACGCGGCTGCCCGCCGCCGGGTCGGCCTGGTAGGCGCCGTAGTTGTAGGCCAGCTCGAAGCAGGCCGGCGTGAAAACCTTGGAGCAGTTGGTCGCGACGCCGGGTCCAGGAGCCTGCTGTCTGCGGGCGAGGGGCGCGGATGTCAACGGCAGCGCTACGTTGGTGATGGCCGGGTCCGACCTCGTAGTTCCGAAGTAGGTCGTGGGCGTGACGAGCTCGATGTGCTCCGCCATGGCGTCCGGAACGGAGTACTCCTTGGTGCGCAGCTTCATGGTGCCCTGGACGTCGTAGTAGGCGAAGCTCGCGCCGAGCATCCTGTTGGCGGTGGCGACGTCGGTCTCGAAGTTGAGGAAGCGGCCGCCTTCCGTGTAAGAGACGTCGCTGACGTTCTCCTTGGCCAGCCAGGTCTGGACGGCGGCGACAGAGGCCTCGGCCGGCTTGAACATGTCGTTGACTTGGGCCGCCGTCAGGTACTTGCCGTAGTTGGGGCTGTCCGGGTCGGAGATGTCCCGGAGCGTCGGTTCCAGTTTGTCAATGTTCTGCATCTTGATGCCAACCTGGAGCCTGATCTGCTGGTTGTCGGCAGCCATGTTCACCATCTGGACGCCTTGGGCGATGTTCGCCGCCCTGGACATGAGGCGGGCCTCGACGACGGGCGAGATGGCCGCCAGTGCGACCAAGGCCTTGAGGAAGGACATTTTTGTCTGGATCACCTACGCTACACGGAACTCGGAAGGAGGCTGAAGAGGATACCGGGCACACAGGTCGTTGGCGGGTTTTGGAGGTCCGAACGTGACTAGTACCTGAGGAAGAGCTAGACAGCCCAGCTATGAAAAGGAGAAAGAAGAGAAGCGCATGCGGATTAGGGCACGAAATGTATAGAGCCGACGGGAAGAAGGGATGGATTGAGATGGTGAAGTCACGAGTCAATAGGGGCATGGCCTCGACCTTGCGAGGGCAGCCGTCCGATGGTCACGACTTCAAACAGGCATCAAGGCTGTTACTCTTACCGCACGGGTGGTATACTTCCCCTCGAGCAACCCAAATCACCAATCGGCACTTTCGTGGTCGACCAGTCGTTTTCGGTGGCCCTTGTCCCGAGTTTTCGTTATTGTGTTGAATATAGGGTGTGATGCTTGTACTGTGTTTTTCTGACTGTGCCCCTATTATCATTTACCCGTGCGATCTTAAGAGGATCCGCCTGGATATAGTGTACAGTACTCCGTACTCCGTAAGGATACCTCGGTCCCAAGTGGGTTGCGTGCCTCGGTTGATGAGGAAACAAACCATGACGTTACATGATATCAAACAACGCCAGGACAAATGTGGACGTGTGCATGTCGGTACGTTTCAACGCTTGAACCCTGCCCGCCGAGCCCCGTAACAGATTCCGAGCGAGCAGGGAAGTGGAAAAGCATGCGGAGAAAGGGTGCACAGTTCGGTAGGGGGTATTCCAGCTTCGGGGGTGGGTATCGGAAAAGTGGAGCGGAGTTCGGAAGGGGGTTAAAACCCTAGTCACAGTGTAAATTAAAAAAAGGTAACTAAAATAATCCCAGCATATGCTCAGCATATCCTTCAAAATATAGCGCTTACCTTCTATAACTATAGAAGACTTAGCTACTTTAGTTCTTACTAAGTCTTCTATAGTTATAAAAGGTAAGTGCTGTATTCTGAAGGATATGTTAAGCATATACTAAGTCTATACCTTAGAATATAGTACTTACCTCCTATAACTATAGAGGATTTAGTAAAAACTAAGATAACTAAGTCCTCTATAGTTATAGAAGGTAAGTGCTATATTGTAAAGGATATGCTGAGCATATGCTGAGTCTATACCTAGGACTCTTGCACTCTTCACACTCTACGCTAAGCCTAAATAAGCCTATGGAGGTCTTTTTACCCTCCCCCGAACTTCGATCCACTGGCCGGATACCCCCCCCCCGAAGCTGGAATACCCCCTACCGAACTGGATCCCCGCGGAGAAACACCAGTTAGTTTCCCGCGCATCCTTGCCCTTGTTCGCCCGTCCCCGAGAAAGCGCTGGGGCGTTGGTGGCCTTGGCAGGCCTTGGATGGTTTTTGTATCGAGTTTAATGCTATGTAAGAGGGCGTACCGGGAAAACATGTACAGAAGAAAAAAGGAAACAGAAGAGGGGGGGAAAAGGGGTTTATAGTCTATAGGATCCTAGCTAATCGATCGCAGGCCTCGGGTCTTGGATAAATCAATGACGTGTATTCCACGCATTACTGGCCGTGTACCGAACACACTCTTTTGTCTCGAGTTACTCATTTCGAAAGGACGCCTTGAAAGCAAAATTGAAAAAGTCTGTTGGGTTTGAGCAAGTCGACAACTACTAAATAGAGTCTGGAGAACATTTAGGGAAAGGGAAAAAGGATGGAAAGAAGAAGAAGAAGAAGAAAAGGTTGGCGAATCAGAAGCTAGACGATCCTAGAAACAACAACACATGAATCATGTGTGGCCCAAGAAATGAATCAACCGTGCCGCATATTTTAGTTTCGTGGATTCTGTTATGGATCCCTAACATGCATAGTAGACGCTTCATGGACGGCTCTCACCCCTTGCTCTGTTCAAACGTCTTGGCTCGACACCGGGCGGTGGGCAATGGCGACTGATTTCTTTGGAGGCAGAGTATCCGTAACGGAGGATGATTTATACATTCCTTGGCAAAATTCTTGGTCCCGTTCCTTCGGCGCTTGTTTGGGATCGCCGCCGGCAGGGTCATGGGTGGTCCAGCGACCACTGTAAAGGTGCGAAACCGACATCCGGCCTAGGCAGGTCGTCGCAAGCTCCGCCGGAACTAGAGTAAAGTAGTTCGCTCAACTTTATTTGCATACAGGCTGTGATGGGTACAATCCTTTCCTTGAATACCCCGCACTCGGGTGGGAAAAAGAAAAACACTAATAGGTAGCCGCTCTTCAACCACAGCAAGTATGGGACAACGGGCCGGCGCTTCCGGCGAACCGAGGTGAGGCTCTTCAAGAAGAAAAGCACTGTGAAACTGGCACCACACGCACGCTTGCGCTCCTACGACAGCCCGTCTGTGCGTCTCGAAATCGTGGCCGTGGCGATGAACTCGAACTGGTCGACCGGGGGCACATACGGCGCGATGGGCGGAAGGGGGTGGGCTTCTGGAATGGCGATGTTGACGAGGGCTTTCCTCCCGTCGTACGGCGGTTTGAAAAACCTGCGGCATTTTTGACGGGTTGAGCAGCGCGCCTCGTCCATGGAGAAAGGGACCGGACTCACCGCGTATCTCTGTACAAGTGGCTGACGTAGAGTTCGAACCTCGAGGCCGACCGGAACTTTGCAACCCTAAAGTGGAATGCATTCGAGCCACCGCTCCAGCAGAGGACGCCGGTGCTGGGGTAGCTGTTGTTCGGGCCGTGGTTCGGCGTGATGCCGTCCCATTCCCACGCCGCACCGCAGTGTGCGCCGTTGACTTCCACGATGCCTTCCGTGTTGGGGTCGTAAAGATCGACTAGGCGGGTTGGGTGTCAGTGTTGCGCGGGCCACCGCGTATCCTGTGGGGTTAAATGGTTTGAAGGGACAGTCATGCTCACACTTGAGGGTGCAGGTGTACAGTTCGTTTCTTTGCTCCTTACGGCAGACAGACTCGAGGTTGCTGAGAGTCATGTTTAGCCAGGGATACTTGAACTGGGAAACGGCTTGGGTGTCCAATGTCGGCAACGTTGCCACAAGGGAGATGAGAGACAGCATTGACGCCAATCCCAGAAGGCTCATCTTGTTAAAGACTGGCTGTGATGGCAGAACTTTACCAGTTTATGGCAGGGGCACGGATCTGACTCCTGGCCAGAAGATCTCGACCTAGTCTAGTGCATCAACAGGAAACAGCATCTTCGTCTTTCTAGCATCTTTTATATATCTTCCTGGGAAGACGCCTGATATCAAGCATCCGGCATTCGGCAACGACGACGGTAGCATGTCATTTGTCTGTGATGCTCTGGGCCGGTAATTCACCAAAGCAGAGCAGCATGCGGGCAACCGGCGACGTTCACATGCGGCCCGGTGCAAGAAGCCGTACTTGTGCGCAGTTATACGCCAGCGCCTTCGTTGAGTGTACGAGGCATTGTGTGCGGTCGAATCAGACCGCCAGCATTGGCAAAACATGGCCGGTACGGGGAACCCGAAATCAGGAGAGGGTACCTGCCGGGGGCGTAGACCAATATCCCTCGGAGATTGTTGTGCTGCCGCAGATCATGGCTTTGATACTGCGAGGACTGATCGTGATATGTCGTAAAGACTGTGAAGGACTTTGAACAAGAGTAACTGGTGTTCGTTCCGGACGAAGGCAGGAGGATGATAGTCCTTCATCACCGCCTTGTTTGAGGCTGTCCATAACAGGGCGGCAGAAATCCTGTAAGCTGTACAGACTGCCGTTGGCACAAATGAAACCCAAGAAAGTGCTAAGGCCGGGAATGTAGCACCGTTCACCGACTCTTTGGTCTGTGTCTGCTGCCACGACCGGTGGTTGTGCCATTTGTCCGTGGACACGACTGGTTGCCCACGCCGTGGATTTGCAGACCAAGCGAACCCTCTCGTATCTCACAAAGTATCGGGCGATGTCGGCGCAAGAGAACTCAACCTGTTGAGACCAAGGTACGCAAAAGCTGGATATAGAGGAGTCTATTCGTGCAACCGGGAACGGCAAATTGCCTTCCTACTACGGTGCAACCTCGGCGGCCCGACGGAAGGCGTACCGTAACATTGTTTGTTTGCTCGAACGCGCCGCTAATCATATTATATGGACCAGAAGTACAAAAGCACTGGCTCCCAGAAAGAAGCATATCCGGTTCCCTGGATTGCACCAGGTGGCATGATCACTGCAGCCATCCAGCGGACGATGCTGCGCTTTTGAACTGGAAAGACCAAACGCGGAATTTGGCTCGTATTGGATATATTCATCTGTATGCCGCAATCGGCCTAGTATAACTGCCGGCCTCATAAACAGCTGATCATCATGTACCGTGGATGGGAAGGGAAGGAGGTTGGTTGTTGCCATGTGCGTGTATCGCCTGATGCTTCCGCCTCAGGGACGAGAGGTAGCGGCCAAGCGGTGAGCAGCTGCACATGATCCCTAGCCCTTCCACGAGGCTAGTCCGGGCACTGCGTATGAGTATCTATGGTCGATCTCCGAGGTGAGCCCGTCCAGGGCAGCACGATCCTCGCCGACGTGGTTCTCGATTGGTTCGTCAGCCTCATCATATCACAAAGTCTCATGTCCCACGGGGCTAGGTTTACTCTGAAAACCATTTAAGAGGCTTCAACCACACACACCGCTCTTACAAAAGATCATCAACCCTGCCAGTCGAGCCCTGTTCCAGGAGACCACAGCAGATGCCCGGCTCCTCCGTGTAACCGGCTCGTGCGATCGCTCAGAGGCACACGAAAGCAACAAGAGCTTCTGTTAACAGTTACGGCGGGATTTGGGCATCGACTTTCGACTCAGAGCTCTTCACATGGTGTCCGGACGCCGCAAGATCTTGTTTAGACATTGGCCAATTTTTCTAACCGTTTCTACAGTGACAGGCTTATAACACATTGCATTTATCAACAGTATGAGAATGAGTAGTGGACTGGGGCTCTCTGATACAATGATTACACCGACATCTACCAAGTCCAGAGTGGCTGGCAACTGACCATAAGTGTTTCGTGAACATCGGCAGAGACATTGAGTATCAGTTTAAAGTTGAGAATGCAATATTTGTTGGTGAGCGTTCTTAAAAAGATGCCATGATGATAAAACATATTGGCATCGCCGGGGCGAGAGGGCTTTCCTAGAATCTGTAACAATCAATATCCATACCTTGACTAGGTTTTCTCGGCTTTTTGTATCAACCAGAAAATTGAGGTTCTGGAATAGGAGTTTTATATTCCTCATTTTCACATATACTGGCATCATGGCCAAGGCTTAGCCTTAGAACACCAATAAAGCCATTTATGATACGCTATCGGACAAATAACAACGGGTGGTTATATCATCAGACAGATGTAAGAATTTGAAAGTAGCTTGATGAGAGAACAGCCGAATTTTGTCTCGCGTTGATAATGCGTAAGTTGTAAAGAGACAAACAGGTGAAGGTGCAGTGATGCGACTGCAACACCAGATGTCAGTTAAACGAGGCTGGAGAAACCCCACAGGCGAGAAAAGAAAATGGAAATGTTAGAGAGAATCCGTGAGGCCCTATTATGCAGGATATACATGCTATGTGCGTTTACTATATCCACATCAATGTGTAGTAGAAGAGACCGTTGCAGGGAGGCTACGCTTTACCTAGCCTCTGGGGAATAAGTGATCTATATAGTTTCGATCCCGACGACACTGTTCGCCTTGGAGAGCCTGGTCAGACACCAACAAAGAATAATGGTTGCCGCTTCAGAGCATTTCTCAAAACGCACTGTAGACAAGCACGCATGCCTTCTCTTGTTTCCTTTTTATATCAGGCTTCATCTTGCCAGCTATTCAAGCAGTGGGGAATAACTAAGCCTGGCCACAGACTGAGAGTCACAGGGCTGCTTAACGTGCCTGCCTTTTCAGATACGTATCATTCACGTTCCTTCTCTCTCGGACCTCGCCTAAACCCAGTGACAGTTTATCATAAACAACCGCGCTGGTATTCATCTTGGAATTTACTTCTTCTCATTTTTTTTCTCTTCCCACAGAAAATCCTGCGGACGGATCTGAACTGCTGGTAAGCAATTCCTGCTTTCCCGAAGCAAGAGCGGAGCCAAAAACGTGCCTGATTGGAAAGAAGAAGAAGAAAACCACCAGCCACAATCCCTGGGACTGTCCGAGAACAACATTAACATCATCACCACAGATCCCGCTCTTCTCTTCCACAACAGAGACGGAACCGCTTCTTGTCCCTCCCAAGAAAAAGCAGCGACACGCGCCGCCCCTTCGTCAACATGGTGCTTCACGATTGTTTCCATCTGTTTAACTCTCTTCCGGCCGAGATTCGACGCGCTATATGGATCGAGGCACTATCGCAGCCAAGAGTTATCAAGATCATAGGACCCCACCAAGATCCCATCAATCGCTTTGTTCAAATGGGTGTCGATACCGGCCCCACGATCCCGTCTACCGCCATGGCGTGCTCCGAGGCATACGACACCCTCAAAGAGGCATTCCCATGCCTGGCCGTCCCCCATCACAATAGCCCCCGCCGCGTGTGGGCGTTCCCCAAAGACTGCATCCTATTTCTGGACGGCTGCGACACCGTCCAAGTCGACAGCTTCACCTTGGCACAGGTCCCGGGATACACAGCACATATCGACCGCATTACCCAAGTCGCCATCAGCCTCCAAGGCAGGTCATGGCCGTTCACTTTCCAAGCCATGGGCCGGATGTCCAGAATTTGCCCCAATCTCCGAAAGATACTCCTCATCCATGAAAACGGTGCAGCGTCGGACGAGAATATCAGGGCCATGATCACGACCGCAATGTCCCGAGACGGCGGCAATAACTTCCCGCGCCACAAGCTGCAGATCAAAGCCGAGTTCCAGATCGAGATATTGGACTTATATGACTGTTACTTCCCCGAATGGCCTCGGAAGCCAGAGCTTCTCATTCTAGCCACAGTTGCGATTAACCCGCCTTGGTCGCCATTGGATTTGGTTTCGTGGCCACTGCCGCCATTCCTGCAGTACACTGGTTAGTTCTCTATAAGCTACAAACATTCTTCGACTACTCAGAGCAATATGTCCATTGACAAACAGTAGACAGCAGTCCCGAATAATATGACCAAACAGCTCTTGCCTGCTGGGGACACGGATAATGCCGTTGTGAGTAGGGATCTAGATAACCAGGAACCTCCAGAGCCGCAGTCGTCACTGATAACGGGCCCGAGCGGGACGGGACGGTGAGCCCCCACCCGTGGGGAATTTCTCGGACGGAGTTGCCGACTCACGGGACACTGGGTACAAGGTTTCAGGGCGTTGCTGATTCGTGAGAGCACCTGACCGTATGACCAGCTGGTCAGAGGGCCTTGATTGCTATCTTCTGCAGGGGGAGAAAAAAATTGGACGCAAGCATTGATTTGGGAGGAATCCGCGACAGGAACCCCGGGCAGTGCGCCGGGTTCGATGACCTTTGGGGGGGCCATGAGGGCAAGCATCGATAGCATCAGACGAGATGATGCCGTTTTTCTTTCATGAGTCCGAGACGGACACAGCCTAGGTAGGTAGCAGGTATGGGAGTATGCTTCGTATTGCGATGTTGATTTTGAACACCACCGACATGCAAGATAAGGCAACAAACCAGTCGACATGCCGGGACCATTGGACTCCGCCATCGTGGTCACACCTGCAACTGTCAAGCATAGGTCCGCCCTCAGGTTCCCGGAGAGAAACCGTCGAAACAAGAGATTGTGATGCACAAAGACACTCGCTGCTCGTTATGTGAGCTGCGAAGGAGAGGGGGTCTGTCCAATAGGGAGGATGCCTGCACGGTGAGCACCGAAACCAGACGACGCATAAAAGCCCGACGTGTAGATCAGTCGTCGCGACGTCACGTCGACTCCCAGGAAGCCAGCCCGCTGTTACACACATGATCACGCAGCATGAGCATGAAGCTGATCTCTGATCTTACCCGGAGAGAGTTGGCATGCAGGAGTTGGACGGGCTTTTTGTCGTGTGGTTTGACGTCTTCGCCGCAAGGGGCTTGGATCCCGCCCCGCTTCCCGGTACTTATTCTTCCCCTCTGCTTAGGTGAGCCGACGGGGAGGGGGGGCTCCGTCTCTGGTCGTCTCGGATCCGGACAAGCGCGATGGACGAGAGCTGATACGGCTCCCATTCTCTCACCCGTGAGATTTTGACAGAGTTTTGGCCCGCTCCTCTCCCTTGGGTTTTTCGTCGCTATTAATAGTAGCACTTGTGCCCACGCCCAAATTGACTTTTTGCCCAAGACAAGGGTAAATAATTCCCCCCCATTAGGTACGTCCCGCTTCCCCCCCCCCCCCCCCCCCCCTCCACTCGGCAGATCCCTGTGAGCACCAGACGCTTGGCTACGCTGAAAGAATGAATGCGTTGCCCTATGACGGACAGTTTGATGGCTCGGATGACAGAAAGTATACTTCAGCTCCGGTAGGGTGACAGTGAAGGTAACGAGAGGACCCTCTGCTAACAACAGTAGGTAGCCTGAAAAGGCCCATATCAAGCTCCCATGACCCCGGGAGGGAAATGGCGTTTGTGGGCTCTATTCCAGGGCGTTGAAACCGTCATCTCTCACGACCCAATCCAAATGACACACCATGACTCACTCATGCCGGTTGGCCGCGAAGCCAACGTTGTACGCAGCTCGCCAACCTGGCGAGCCTTTGACTGGGCTTACTGTTGGCCCTGGCCGTACCCTGGGCAGTGGGCTATTGGTAGCTTCTTTCCCCGAGGGATGCCCCACCTGAGCTCTCTCCCTAGGGCCGATGTTTGTTGGTACAGCTACGAATATAGTAGCTAAGCTTCTTGAGTTGATTGGGGTTTAGACGAAGGGGTCGAAAACGCTTAATAACTGCTGAGATATACGCTGGAAATAGCGTTCGTGAGCTTGGATGCACCGGCGCTGGTTGAGGCCACTCGTGTGTTTTGCAAGCATTAACCAAGAGCCACCTGGCACAACCCTTAGATATGCCTTGCTCTTTGCCGGGAGACATTGCCAGCAAAGAAAGCCATTGCTGTGTCTGACTGATGCGGGGCAGAATGGCAAGGTGGGGAAGCCATCAGACCTTCGTCGAGATCGTGGTGAACTAGGAGAGCTCCCCACCGAGTAATTTGCCAGAGAGGGGTGCCAGCGTGCGGCAGAACTACCTACGAAGAGCAAAGTACATTGTATCAACCCTGGCACTCTGGAGCCTCTGCGACAAGGTTCTCTTAGGGCTGAGCTATTCAGCTGTGCGAGTTTACCTAGTGGGAGGAGGAGGGGTGATTGAGGTACACTGTGGTTTCCTGGCCAGTGTCGTCATACCAAGGCATCTCTGCCCAATATGCGACAGAATATTCGATTATCAAGGAGTCGTATGGTCCGTGGTTTGCTCAGATATCGAACAGCCGCAGAAGGCGAACATAGTCGACATGCATGGGGGAGACGCTCCAAGCCAGATACTATCATTGCCAATGGATCCGCCATGGCAAGCCCGTGATACCTGTATAGTGGGCGACCTTCCCCTCCCTCTTCTTTGCCCGCTCTTGCAGCTCGCGCAACGTGCTGCTATGAGATGTCCTGTAGTTCAGGGCCTGACTTCGGCCGCAATTCGCGACTCAGTCAGCCGGTGTTTTTTTCGACGACGACGACGACGACGACGACGACGACGACGACGACGGGAGATGAAGGCCAAGGTTGGATTGGGTAGGGTCTTGTTGGGAGGCCTGGGTGGGCGGTGGTAGTCTACCTAGCAGCCTTCCCCCCAGTACCGTACCGAAGGGGCCGAGACGGCAACGGAGGCTGAACGAGGGCATGGCCTGCCGGAGGATATCGTCGTCATCGTCGTCGATGCTGATAGCAGATGGGTTGGTGGATGGAGCCTGTCTAATCCCTCGATGCTGACTGCTGTTGCCCGACCCCTGATGCCTTTTCATCCAGCAGAGAGAGAGGGAGAGAGAGAGAGGCGTTGCTGGTGCTGACTGTTGGCATTAAATGGCTGCTGGCCCGTATTGCTTCCCGCAGCCTTTCCGCAGGTTCCGAATATCTCGGGGTTTTCTTCTTCGTGCCCCCGGTCCGAGATTTCGTCTCGTAAGGTATGTATCCCATGTTTGCACCCAGTCCTCAGTGGGAAGAAGGGCCGCCGGTGAGAAAGCAATTGATCAGCCCTATCCTGGCGTGCCATTGCAACACAACGCCGTTCGCCTCTCTCTTCGTCTCCCGCCCTCCCACGTTAGTATGATTACCTCCCCGCTTCCACATTCCACTCCATCTCACACCCAATGTCGTCGAGTTCGCCTTGGACATCCACAACTGTCCACTAGCGAAACCGCATCTCCCGTTTGTTATCGACGCGCTGTTCGTCCCTCGTCCGTCTTCGCCGTCTCAGCTATCGGCCCAGAGGAATTGCATTCACCGTCTCGACAGCAACTTGGACGTCCCTGGCGACGCTGATCGAAACCTGTCTGCGTTTCACTAAACGACCCCAGATCCCTCCCCGCAGCAGCTGGAGCTTGTCGCCCATTCCCTTCCCTCGAAGGTCGAGTCTTAACCGCCGTTCGTCTGAACACAGGCAACCCTGGAGATGAGCAAAGGCGGCAAAACAGCACCAGATAAGCAACTATTTCCACCGCCACCACCACCGCTCCCTTTGGCCTACTATCGCTGTTCGGGAAGGGTATAGCGCTGCACCCCAGGATTGGTCGGGTAGAACATTGGCACCACCCTAGCAATAAGCCATCAGCGACTCCAGCTCTCCTTCCAAGGACAACAGCTGAGCACCACTTCGGATTTGACTTGTGCACAGCCCCAAGAAAGCCCCTCCAGGCAACCCCAGACCTAGCACGGCATCCGCTTATTGTAGCTCGGATAGCCAATCCGAACCCAATAGTCTGGTCTCCAGCCTGTTGCTCTACTGGTGCTCCTTCCTGGCGGGCATCTGCACACGTACGTTAGATTGAAGTTGAGTGAGAAAGTGGACAGACAGACAGACAGACAGACAGGGTCGTAGACGCATCTGCGGAGGCGCAAAAATAGGTACAGGGGACCAGCAGGGCGGGCTGACCAATCTCTCGCCCTGTCATCATCATCCTCTTGCTTCCCCTTCTGACTTGCCGCTCGTTGTTGCTGTTGCCGTTGCTTTCTCGCTGTCTTCAACCTCGGACTCCGACCGACAAGAGACAAGAACCTGAGCGATACCGACTGATTTGAGCTGAAGAGAAACTAGCCCTGCTGCCCCCGGCCCACCGTTCCCCGTCTTGTGTGTGTGTGTGTGTGCCTCTCCGCTACTCAGTACCAGGCCACTCGCCGTTCAGCAGGTCGAGTAGGTAGAGAGAGGGAGTGAGAGAGGGAGTGAGACAGTTGCCAGGCTGTTCTTGCTTGTCTTTCTATTTTCCGGCCTCGCCGACTTGCTTGCTACACACACACACACACACACACACGACGTCAGTTCAGTACTGCACAATCCACCCAAACAAGAGACAGAGGGACAAAAATAATAATAATAGGTTGCCCTGGCCTGCTCTACCCGGGGTTGCGGCGGTTGTGCACGACGATATCGCTGTTATAATGCCGACCTTCGGTCGCATTGGACGGCACCACAACCGTTCGCAGCAAGCACTTGTTGATCAGGGCGGAGGGGTTGCCGGCCCAGCAGCTTCACATTCTACTGCTACACCTGCGCCGCCGCCTTCGGGGTCTGCTGCCTCCGGTCCTGGTCCTCATTCCTCCTCCTCCTCCTCCTCCTCCTCCTCTTCGTCTCACCCTTACCCTTACTCCTCGTCCCTCGCTCCCGCGCCCGTCTCGAGTGCAATCACAACCAACGCTGCCGCCGCCGCCGCCGCCGGCGCTAATAATCAGATAACCCCCCAATCAATCTCGTCGACTGCCTTCAGCTCCAGCGAATCCTTCGACACCTACCAAACCCAGCTGGCCCATCAACATCAACACCAACAACCACAACTTCAACACCTCCAGCAACATCAGCCAAACCTCCCACAGCAGGGTCAGCAGGGATCACCTGCACAGCCCCGCGAATACCCCCCTTCCTCAACCTCCGCCGCCGCTGCTACTGCCTCGCGCAACTCTCTCCTGCTGCAGCACCAGAACCCGCCCATTGCCGATTTACGCCAAAGGAGTCAGCAGGATTTTGCCGATCCCCAGTCACAGCGCTACCAGCCTGCAGTGGCCCCTTACCCCAACAACAACAACCAATTCATCACTGCTGCATCCAGCTCCGTCGACAGTCTGAGAGCATCCGGCAACAACACCTCTCCTGCTCCCCTCCGAAGTCCAGCTCCATCGCCAGTTCCGCCACCCGCCCCGGAGAAGCGCTCTGCGCGAAGCCGGCTCAAGCACTTCTTGGGCGGATCGGGCCGCGACCACCACAACACCCCGCCTTCCCAACCTACCCCGCCAAATTCCTACGATAACACTGCTGGTCTTGTTCGCCGGCCATCCAAAAGAGTGTCCAATCCGCCACCCGCAAAGACTGCCTTGTCCCAACGGGCTTCGCAGCTGTCTTTGGATCAACAATCCGCTGACTGGCCACTTCCGGGTCCCCATCAACAACCTTCCCAGCTGCAGGGCGTTGGCGCCATCGAGGATCACCGCCTGGCACAAGACCCTAACATAGATCCCCGTCTACAGAGCCCAGAGCCCAACCGTAACTCGGTCCGATACGTGCCGGCCGACTTCGACAACACCTCCTACGACGACTCCGTGTACGGAGACCGACAGAAGCAGCAGGTGCCCGCCTTGCAAGAGCAGCAGCAGCAGCAGCAGTACCAACAGTTTTCCCAACAGCAGAGCGCCCAATACCAAGCCGGGCCGCCTGCCATCTATACCAGCCACCTGGGTGCCGGCTCGCATCGAAATCCTGAGACCGTCTCTGAGTTGTCGCATGAGTCGCCTGTCACTGATTCAGACGCTCGCTCGGCAATCGTTCAATCTACCCAATCCTCCCCCGCAGTGAGATACGCCGTGCATACCACCGACAGCCCGCAGCCTTCAACACTTCCTCCTTCCCAGCAAGGAACACCTCAGCCTCCCCAGCAAAATATGGCCCCCCCCTCCGGAGGTCCTCCCCCAATCCGACGGTCGCAAGAGACGGAAAAGGCACTGCGCAGCCAGGTCGACGCACCTTCAGGCCCGCCGCCGAGCTACAGACAAAACCCGTCAATGCCTCCTGCTGCTGGCGGCGCTGCTGCAGCTTTCCGGCCTGGCGTTGCTCAAGAAGCGCGCCAGTTCGAGGGAGCATCAGGGGAGCAGGGCCGAAACAGCCCTCAGCCTACCAACACCGATCGTGATGGCGCGGACCCCGACAAGTTTAAGGAGCTCTGTAAGGCGTACGCAGGCCATGCATCGACAGTATGCTAACAGCTTTCAGTAACTAAGTATAAGAATGTAAAGCGCCTGTACTTTGAAGGCAAGACGCAGATCGACAACCTCAAACCTCAGATCGAGCAGCTGCAGAATGCGCTTGCGAATCAGCGCATGTCCCAATCGCGCACCGCTCTCGACGACAGCGAATACATAACGAGATTCAACCGTCTCAATGGTGCTATTAACAACCTCTCATTCAACATTCGAAAGGACTGGCGTACGATACCGCAGTGGCTGGACATGTTTGTCAGTATCGATGCGCTCAAGACCGGAAAGCAGGAGATGACAGCAGTCGGCCGCGCCGTCATCACAAGATGGATTGTAGAAGAAATCTTCAACAAGTGCTTCCACCCTGGCCTCAACTTCGACCTCAGCCGGCAATTGAAGGAGATTGAGCTTAACATCCGACGCTTCTCCTACACCATGACCAGCCAGGAAGAGTTCGACGCCCTGACGAGCAAGGTCGTCAGCTGGCGGATGGCTACGCTGGAGGGTCTTCAGCGGGTTCTGAATTCTCCGGAAAGTGCCGACAACCGAGCGGACTTCACCCGCATGTGTACGTCCAACCTCACAGCGACCTTGTTCCAATACATGACAGATCCACCACCCGCCGGCGTTGACGGCAGCGCCTCCATGATCGTGGAGTTGGCTGTCGGCATCGCAGCCAACCTTCCACTCGAAAGCAGAGATGTTGCGATTAATTACCCCCTGCCTGGAGACCCCGTCCAGCCCAACATCATGGACGTGGAAAAGACCCCGCTCCCGCCCCTGGATACCCCCAAACCCGAGGGTGAGGCGGAGGGTGACGAGGGAGACAAGGATAAGAACAGCAAACCCCAGCGGGCCGAGAAGAGCAAGAGCGGTATGTTCACTACTATACTCGGCGGCGGAACGCACGCCGGCCGCAAGGGCAGCACTGCGTCGTCAATTGTGCCCGCAAGTACTGATGCTGCCCCTCCCTCAGCTCTCCCACCCAAAGACAGCAATGTCGTGCGGCTTGCAGGCTTCCCAGCTGTGGAAGTTCGGGGTCGCCAGGTGCTCGTGAAAGCTACAGTGTGGACGGTTTGAAAATATTTGCTTGGGATGACGAATAGACAACAAGGGGTTATATGCCTAGGGACTCGGCAACAGTTCGTATAGAGGAGCAGCCTCCTGGACGATGGGTATTGCATTTGAGATTTTGGTGGCAAGAGGCACGAGTAGGCTGAAGGACGATACTGGGACGAAAGGGGACTGGATCTAACCACCTACACGGGAAAGAGGTGACGTTCACGACTGAAGACTCACATCCATGCCAGAGAGGCATGCTTGGGTGCTCGAATTCTCTTTGGGGATAAGAAGAGGACCTTAATAGTTGCCAAGGTACCTTGAAAATTTTCTCGCTTGCTCTCCATTCTTTACACTGTCCACTGTGCGTCGTTCCCCCCCCCCCCTCTTCTTTCTCTCAGGTGCTGCCAAGGTATCCGCATCGCACTTCGGGTTTGAGACTTGATTCCCCCTTGGGCTCGATCAGTACGCAAGAGGCACCGTCGAACGGGCACTGGCGCGCTCGTCAGCCTTCAGCCCTGTCTTGTCAGAGTCGTTGTGGACCGGAACGCGTACCCTATTGTAGTCGGCCGGACAAACCTGGGCATTTCGGCCCGGTAGGTTGCACTTGTTACTCGTCTGCGTGCAGCTCTGCGGCGTACGCAGTCAGCCATCCGCACGCATCCTTTTGCGCCTTTTGGGTTCCGGTCGGACTTACACCTCTGATCCTGTTCTCGTCCTGGCCGGACGACTGCCGCGCCGCGAGGAGGGCTTCGCGGTCGAGCAGGCCCGCCGAGACGGTGCCGCTCGCGCCGAGGGCCACGAGGAGGACGATGCGGAGGGTGTGCATGAAGCCGGTCTTCGTCTCCGCCCTGTGATACGGCACGTGCTACGCCTCGAGCTCTTGGGCCACCGGAGTCCGTCAAGCACAGCAGCAGCCTTCGAGAGAAGGATCCGACTTTTTTTTTTTTTTTTTTTTTTTTTTTTGGTGCGAGGGGATCTGATAATGATATTGGCGGATGGTAAGCGAGTGTGGTGCTGCGCGAGTCTGGTCAACGTTTAACAGGCACGCCTTCGGAGGAAGCGGGAGACAGGAGAGGAGGGGGTAGGGAGCGGAAGCGTGCGCGTGGGCTATCTATACAGGCAAACTCCGACTCCAGACGAAACGTCACCCCGTCCCCTTTGCCGTGCTTGTACGTATTTGGGATTGAATAAGGGACGATGCCCTCATGTGCCCTGGGGAGGGTGAACATGTCATTGCTCACTGGCCACCAGGTCGTACGAGAAGGGGTTTCATCACACAGACCGTCTTGGTATTCCTTCCCCTAAATGGGACGCGCTCATCTGCCAACGTCACTGTCGAAACGGAGCGGAGGCAGAGCGCGTGTAGGTGCAGTAACTTGTCTTGTCTGGTTCGTACGCACGCCCAGGTAGCCGACGACGTCAATGCTCATGAACACCATGTCCTCGCCCCCCCCCCCCCCCCCTCCCTTGGCTATCCGAGATCGCACGGTCAACTGCCACTTCTTCCCTCCCTTACATAAAAACGTCGAACGGGTCGCCGTTCTTTCTGTCATTAAACGTGAATAATAAGCCTTCCGTGGCCAAGCACACCCTCCTCCTCCTCCTCCTCCTCTTCCGTCGTTACGTCACGTCATGTCACGTCACACCACGTAGCACCGTCATCACCTCTGCTCAACTGTAACGACTTACACACACTGACAGCGGAAGAGTGTCAGCCGCTGACCCCTCGTCTATTCGCAGGCACCTAGTGTACCTTGCCCCCCGGACATTGAGTGAGAGCGGGGTCGGTTCCCCTTGCCTTGTATCGCATACCGCCTTCCTCTTTCGAGTAGCATTGGCGAAACACCCCGCCAAACCTATCCGCGATGGCATCAAAAATTTGGGACGTTGAAAGATGTATGTGGGGGTGAACAATACGACCAGAAGGACCGCACTTGATTTCTTGAAGCCGGCAACCCCCAAAGACACGCAGTTCATAATTGACGACTGAAAACGTGCCTACCATGGCTTCTAAGCCCACTCATCTAGAGCCCTCCAAGCTCGGTACAAGAGAATAGTCCGTCCACCCCCCCCTCCTCCCTTTCTTGTTTGATGCCCCGGGGAGGGGCATTGCAAGCCAAACCCGATCATCCTACCATTGCCGCAACTGACACGCTAGGCCGAACAGCTGGTCCAGCCTCTACACCACCGAGCTCACGAACAACGCCTCTAACCCGGACGACCGCGGCACCGTCTGGTTCGACGACTCGGACGCCGAGTCCAAGCTCCTGACCTACCTCGAGGACCTCACCGAGTCCGCTCCTTTCGACCACTCCATCCGCCAGTCCGACGCCTCGTTCCTAGACCTCGGCTGCGGCAACGGCTCCCTCCTCTTCGCCCTCCGCGACGAGGGCTGGGCCGGCCGCGCCCTCGGCGTCGACTATGCGCCGCAGAGCGTCGAGCTCGCCCGGCGCATCGCCGCTCAGAGGCAGGCCTCGTCCTCGTCCTCCGCAGACCAGGAAGACGAGGATATGGCGGACGCGGGGGAAGGCGAGGAGGAGGATGACGAGGCCAAGGAGCCCGAGTTCCAGGAGTGGGACGTCCTCAACGGCCCCTGGGAGACGGTCCTGAACGGCGCCCAAGCCCAGGGCTGGGACGTCGTCCTCGACAAGGGCACGTTTGACGCCATCTGCCTCAGCGACGAAAAGGACGCCCGCGGCCGGCGCATCTGCGAGGGCTACCGCGGCCGCGCGCTCCGCCTCGTCCGCCCAGGCGGCCTTCTCCTCATCACGAGCTGCAACTGGACCGAGGAGGAGCTGAGGGCTTGGTTCGTGGGACCCGCCAACGAGGACGACGCTGGCCGCTTCGTCGCCGTCGGAAAGGTTGACTATCCCAGCTTCACGTTCGGCGGCGCCAAGGGTCAGACCATCAGCAGCTTGTGTTTCCAGAGGCAGATGTAGGCTGGCTCATCACGATGCCACGAGTTAGACGAATGAATAGCCCATCAAGATACCCAAATCCATTGGCACAGTGCGGCTGTAAGCACACATGACCCCTTTAGTCAATGCTCCTTGTTGTTGCGTCACGTTCCCGCTTCTGACAGCTGCTGGTGTATCATACATTGCGTTTCTCTTCCAGGGAGTGGTATCGATCGGTGGCGGCGCCTGCCCCTGTATCCATCCTCCGATACCCCCCTAACCCAGCGTGCAACCTATGCTCTAGGACCGTCCCTTTCGCCAAGTTCGAACCATCTGAAGATGCGCACACACCATGCTCTCTCTCTCTCTCTCTCTCTCTCTCTCTCTCTCTCTCTCTCTCTATTGTATATCTTTTCCTTTTCTTTTCCGCAAAACCTTAAAGGCAAGCCTAAGGAGCACCAAAGACCGTCATATGTTGGTCGATGCATTCAAGGGAGGAATATTGGAACGACCCGGGTAATAAGATTGGGAATTGCTTCATTACGTTTCTCATCTATGGTGATGTGTTCATAGGCTCGCCAGTGGAAGGTCCAGAAACGCTGTTCGCGGACGTTGTGGCGAAGTACCGCACGTCGACATCGTCATCCTTTTGCAGCTTCTCCAACTTGGGGATAACGCGCGTCTGGATCAGCTCCATGCCTCTCGGGGATGCGGTGAAGCTGTTGCCCTCCTTCTCCAACGAGTAAATGGTGCCCTCTTCCGGCAAGCGGCGCAGAACGTCAATCAGAACGCCGTATGTCTTGGCAACGTTGAAGCGGATGTTAGGGATCTCGTCATCAACGAGCTTGTCCAGCATCGGGAGGATCTTGTCGGCAATGACATCAAGGCTCACGACCGAAGCGAGAGTCTGCGACTTGTTAGCACACTTGACATGACACGAACGCTCTGTAGTAGAAGGGAGCCACTCACGGTGATGGCGAAGGCGGTCGTCATTCGGTAGAGGTAGTTGGGATGGTTGCCCATAGCCATAACCTTGGGAATGATCGCCTCGCTTGCCCATTCTACCCCGAATACCTCGGTGAGCTTCTTCAAGTTATGCGTCGCGGCCTCACGGATCGAGAAGACCGTGTCGCCGAGCCAACTCATGCATAGGTTGCTAAGCTTCTCATCGAAGAACTTGACTCCGAGCTGGCTTGCAAGGAGAGGGATATACTCGATGATGGCCAATCTCACTCGCCACTGCTTATCCTCGGCAAGCTGGACGATGGCGGGGAGGAGTGACTGTGATAGTAGGTCGATACCGATGACTGCGGGTGATTAGCCATGCGCCTCCGCTGAGAATAAAGCTCACATACCCTGGTTAACCAGCTCCAGCTTGGAAATGATGTGAAGGCGAACTTCGGGGAACTCGTCCTTCAGCATCTGCAAGAACATGGGCAGCAGGTGGTCGATGGTCCTGTTGAGACGTCAGTCACGTCTTTTTTTACTCCAGCAGCCAGGGTACCCACTCTTGCTTGCCCAGTATGGGGGCAAGACCGCTGATCTGAGTTCCCAGAGCAGCTCTGACGTGCTGAGAAGTATCGGAAACAAGGTCCTCGACACTGCTCATGATGTCGTTCAAGAGGACGGTTCGATCGACCAGGGCACAGAACCCGGGTATTTGTCCAGCGATGGCAGTCCGAACCTCTGCCTCGTTGTCCTTGAGAAGCTTGACGAAAGACGGCACCAGATCTCTTGAGACAACCTCCTCATCGACGGCCTTGGAAATCTATACGCGCATTAGCGTAAGCTCATCACCCACAGGAGGACTCCGACCAACCTTCTCAAACCTGTCAGCAATCATGTACCGGACCCTCCAGCTCTTGTCCTCGATCAGGTTGCGCAGGGAGGTGAGCAGCACGCCGTGGCTCGACTGCTGCTCCTTGGGCACGACTTCGGCGATGGAGATGAGGATCTCGACGGTGAGGAGACGAACGCTGTCCTGGTCGTCTTGGGCGAGGTGCTGGAAAAGGGGTATCATCTCCTCGACAACAATAGCAGCCGGCATCTCCTTGACGAACTTCGCGAGGTTGGTGGCGGCTTGGCGTCTGACCATGGGCGTCTCATCGTGAACAAGCTGGCCGAACTGCTTCCGCAGCTCTTCTTGAACAGGCGGGGACACCTTCTTGTAGGGCGTTGTGAAAAGGCCGCAGCCAGACACCTTGGAGGTGAACCAGTCTGCTTTTGACAGTCGGATGGTCAAGGGGATGAAATATTCTTCGACTTGCTGAGAGGAGAGCTCCTCGCAGATCTTGTTAAGGGACTCGACGGCCTGTTTTGGTTAGGCGACGTGACTTGGTCGGGTGGAGCAGGGCAATAGCTACCTTGTCCCGCACGACAGGCTCCTCGATCGCAGCGAGGTTCTCGAGGGGGGAGAGGAGGACATGACCCCATTGGGGGCCTCCAACGTACTCGATGAAGTTGCCCAGCTCGCCGCTGAGCGCGACCAGTACCTCGTCCTCATCCTCGACGGACTCTGGTGGTTTGTTTAGATATTGTCTCAAACGGAATAGGATGCGCGGCACATACCGTCGAGGAAGGGAATCAATTCCTCTCGCGTGCGCTCGGCGCCCAAAGCGAGGGCGATGGTGGAAAGGCGGTGGATGGCATTGAGACGCAGGAGGACATCGTCATGCTGGGTTTGACAGGTTAGCAATGAAGTGTGCGCCGGGGGATGGGAGGCTGGCATCGGGGCTGGCCAGTCAGTCACCGCCATACCTTTAGCTCATCGATGAGGACGGCGATGGGGTAAAGCTCGTCCTGGGTATTCGGCGCGTCTGCCATGGCGAGCGAGAAAGCACAGGCGCGTCTATCGATGGGGGGGCTCGGGCGATGTTCAGGAGAGTCGACGTCTTGGTTTTCAGCGATCGGAGTGGATCGCGTGCGAGTGATGCAATGGGTTGGTTGAGGGCGAGCGGCGGTCGTTGTGGGATGGGGGTGGGCGGGCTCTAAAATCTGAGACGATGCAACCGGGGTGGTGGATGGTAATTACTATCAGGAGGTTGCGGGCATGCAGACCACACCACTATCCGACGGCAGGTTGGCGACAAGTACGGGTTGGTTGTCGTGGTGAGAAGAGAGGATTCGTTCGTGTGGGAGGAGTTGGCGGAGGAGAAAGGTGGTGTTGATTTGAGATAGGTAGCGACAGCACAAGGCACGGAGAGGGAAGTTTGACGCTTCTGAGGTCTCTGCTTCTGGTGCTGTCCCACCCGGCCAGACTGGGCTACGCACGCTACTGCACCTGAATTAGAAGAGGCGTCAGTGTGGTGACCACTGACGGGGAACAGCAAGCAGTCCTGGGCGTCTAGGAGCCCTGTATCTGTGACTACCTAGATGAGCCGCCTTAGGTAAGGCTGCCAAGGTACGTACCGGGTCTTCTTTGGACAGTGGGTGCAGTAAGGCAGGGGTGCAGGGAGATGTGGTGCTCTGCCCTTGAGATGAGTTGCGAGGGGCTGCTGCCTCTGAGGAGCTGAAGAGAGAGGGTTTGCTAGCACTGACGTATCTCTTCCTTGGACGTACGCACGTACGGTAGGTAGGTACACTACTTTCTAGACCTTAGGCGTTCTTCTTTGACAGGATGAGAAGATGTTCGTGCAAGGAACGCGACGCCTGTCTATCTACCTACAGGTAGGATGCACCATATGTCTTTACTAGAGAGATCCCTTCTGATCCCTTGGTTGGCAAGTCTCCCCGGTGACCAGCTGAGGGAGGGGTCACTTGAGATGCAGCTAAGGCACCTAAAATGTGTACCGAACCAAGAGAATGGCCACCGAGAGCTACATGATCATGAGCATTCCCCAAAGCATATTTATAGCTATGAGATAATGACGTAAAGCTTCCAAGCGTGTTCATGCATCGAACGAAATCAACCGTCACTCTCAGAGATGGTAAGGCAGTTAGTTATGAGCTCCCAGCCATCAAACTTTGAGCATCAATGATAGCTATCGCTGTCGGTCCAGACTTCGTCTGTTGATGACGAGCCCGCCGCCGCACTGGTCGCCAGCTGTCATCGGCCATGTCCTGCACCGAAGACGTTTGCTGCATCTCGGCCAGCGGGACGGATAGTGTAGCAGCTCTGCGCTGCTGCCGGTTTCGCCTGGCACGGGCCACTGGAGTGACATCGGACCCTGGAAAATTGAGATGCCGAGTCCTGCCGCCGCTTTTGCTGCCCCTCAACCCCGCAGCCCCTCGAACAATGTGCGGGAACGGGCAGTGGGTGACCCGAATGACTCTACCATGCCCGTAAAAGCAGCAAGTTCATCCCGCCTGCGAACCCCCCCATGTGTGCTGTTGCTTCACCTCCGAATATCCCCAAAATTTCTGTGACTCAAGGCCATATTAGGAGAAGGAAAGTGACCATTGCCCGATCCTCTCCTGCCCTCGACGACCGCCGGACCTCTGTATCCTCGAGAGAATCTCGCCAATCCTCACCATGCCTACCATATCCGTCAACAAGTACGATTTGTACAAGGCCCTGGGCCAAAAGTAAGTTGCGCCGCCAGTCGCACCCACCCCATATCACGACCCCGCCATCCCGAAATGTCCCGTTTGCTAACCATCACCACGCAGCTTCACAACCCAGGAGTTTGAAGACCTCTGCTTCGAATTCGGCATCGAACTCGACGAGGACACCGAAAATGAAGAGCGACCGATTGTCAATGGCGTGCAGGAGCCGCCCCAACTCAAGATCGAGATCCCGGCCAACCGATACGACATGCTATGCTTCGAGGGAATAGCACTCATGCTCAACATCTTCAGAGGAACCGTCGCTGCACCCAACTACAAGGTCGTCGAGCCCAAGAACCCCGAGACCCAAGTCATCACCGTCGCTCAAGACACAGGCAAGATCCGGCCCCTCGTCGCCGGCGCCATCCTCCGCAACATCAAGTTCAATCAAGAAAGCTACGACTCCTTCATCGGTCTCCAGGACAAGCTGCACATGAATCTGGCGAGACAAAGAACATTGGTGGCTATTGGAACCCACGACCTCGACACGATACAAGGCCCTTTTACATATGAGGCCCTGCCGCCTAGGGACATCAAGTTCAAGCCCCTGAACCAGACCAAGGAGATGAACGGCGAGGAGCTCATGCAGTTCTACGAGGGCGACAAACACCTCGGCAAGTACTTGCACATAATCAAGGACTCACCCGTCTATCCCGTCATCTACGACAAGAACCGCGTTGTCTGCTCCCTGCCGCCCATCATCAACGGTGACCACTCCAAGATCACCGTCGACACCAAAAACGTTTTCATTGAGATGACGGCCACCGACGCCACCAAGCTCGACATCGTCTGCGACATGATGGTCACCATGTTCTCGCAGTACTGCTCCGAGCCCTTCACTGTGGAGCCCGTCAAGATTGTCTCCGAGCACAACGGCGCCTCAAGAACGACACCCACCCTGGCGCCCCGTAACATCGACGTCGAGATCGACTACCTCAACGCCTGCACTGGTCTCAACGAGTCACCCGAGACTTTGTGCAAGCTTCTTACCAAGATGGCCTACATCGCCAAGCCTTCCACCAAGGACAGCAACCTATTGAACGTGTCTATCCCCGTCACCCGTGCCGACGTGCTCCACCAGTGCGACGTCATGGAGGACCTGGCTATCTGCTACGGATACAATAACCTTCCCAGATCATCTCCTAACAAGAGCGCAACCATCGGCGCTCCTCTCATGATCAATAAGCTGGCAGATATCGTCCGGACAGAGGCCGCCATGTCCGGCTGGAGCGAAGTCATGCCCCTCATCCTCTGCAGCCACGACGAGAACTTCGGTTGGCTCAACCGAAAAGATGACGGCAAGACTGCTGTCAAGCTTGCCAATCCCAAGACTGCCGAGTACCAGGTTGTCCGCACATCCCTGGTTCCCGGTCTCCTCAAGACCATCCGCGAGAACAAGAAGCACAGTGTCCCCATCAAGATTTTCGAGTCGGCCGACGTCGTCTTCAAGGATGAGTCTCTAGAGCGCAAGGCTCGCAATGAACGTCACTTCGGTGCCGCCTGGTACGGCAAAACCAGCGGCTTCGAGGTTGTTCACGGCCTCCTCGACCGCATCCTTCTGATGCTTCGTACCGCCTTCCTCACCCATGACGAGGGTCTGACGGCTGGCAAGAGCGTCGACTTCAAGGTCGTCGAGAACCCCAGCAAGCCTGACGGCTACTGGATCGAGGAGATTGACGAGGCCACCTTCTTCCCCGGCCACGCGGCTGCCATCTACCTGCGTCTTGGCGGCAAGGAGGCGCGCATCGGAGAGTTCGGCATTCTGCACCCCACTGTGCTGGAGAAGTTTGACTTGAGGTTTGTTTCCGGATCTTGATAGCTCTCTGAATTGTTGATTACTAACTTGTGCACAGATACCCCGTGAGCACCCTCGAGATCAACCTCGAGGTCTTCTTGTAGTGACGAGCATGATGGGATATGAGCATGACGAATGGCTTCGGATCGCACAATCGTGAAATAAGAAAAAGGAGACTCAGCTTGTCGCTGGGTGGTTGAACATGGACTTTGTTCTTCGTACCAGACTAGCCGACCCGATGCACAACGAAGCAATAGACACAGGGTGGTAAAAGACAAGAAAAATAAAATCATTGAACAAAACCCGTTTCCCTACAGTGATGATTACTAAAGACTTTTATGGCGTAGACCTCCTCTCGGGGCCAACAATCGATGCCCCCTGTATAGGCAACGGCATGCCCTTGCGTCTGGGTTTCAACATGCAACCATCCTTGACAACTGTCACCGATGGATCAAGAGGTTGTTACTTGAGAACTGATTAGAATTATGGAACTGAGAGTACAGGGAGTTCAAAATCCAAGCGGACCTATATAACGGATCCCCCCAGCTTCTCTCTATCTCTCCGCCCTCTCTCTCTCTCTCGTTTGTCTCCATTTCACTCAAGCCGCTCGATCCACGCCAAATTTTCTTTTCATTCCATATTCTTCCCATCTGAATTACTGTGTATGAAGCCGTTTCTGTTCGTCCTGTTTCGTTGCGTCTTGGAAGCCCCCTTTACCGGTCTTGGATACAAGTTGTCTTCTAATCCTGCTCACCTGACGCCGGAAAGCAGACCGCGCAGATGCCGGTTCCGGCATTAGCAACGTTGTGAAGCGAAGAAGTAGGGTAGAAGGCGAGGCGAGGCGAAGAGTAAAAGAAGAAAAAGTCGTAGTACAAGTACAGGAACGCCATTGCGTTGTCGTTATGGAGCCGTGAAACACTCCACCCAAATTCCCATACCGCTTTTTGCCAAAACCATCCGTTCATTCTTTTGTAGTCGTGAGGTGGAAAAATGCATCTAGTCCCGCCAAACTCTTGAAATGTTGAACTAGGTTGTGGACCGCTTGTCCATCGGGTCGCACTGCTAATCGAAGCTCATAGACCCGCCGTTCTCGGCAGAGCAGAGTTCCTCTAGACTCGAGCCCACCATAATGAAGAGACCGCCGTTGGTGATCTCACCCGTCGCGACGCGCTCGAGAGACTGGAGGGAAGAGGTGTCGGAACATGCATCATCGTCGGCCTCTCTCTTAGCGACGCCATCGACGCAGTTGATCGATGCGCCGGAGCAGGTACTGTTTACTGGCGTGTCCTGGGTTAGGAGGCTGTTCAAGCTGGTTAAGCTCTCGATGCCAAAGTTTACAATCCCTTTGGTTCCCCATGCCCAGACTGATTCGTCATCCCAGTCACTCATTGTGTAATTCGGGTCATCCCAACTCTCCTGGTAGAAGAGCTCAGCGTCGAGCATCATGGTCTTGTCCGTCACTTCGATTGTGTAAGGCGCTTCGTGCATGTGTTCGAACATGACGCCCTATGTCATTTCCCGGAGCTCTTGCTCGGTGCGGCTTGTAACTCTCGAATTAGACGCGGGGCTGGCGTTGCGCCCGCCGAGATTGGTGAGCATGCCGCTGACGTTCTTGCCGATGTTCAGGCCGGCAATGCCCTCTCTCAAGGCACTGAAGGCATTCGAGTTCTCGGCCGATACACTTCGGTGCAAAGCCGGTGCCTGTCGCTCTTGTCGACTAGGGGTAAGTGTCGTATGCGCCGTCTCCACGGCTGCAAGAACGGACTGGCTAGTGGGCAGAGCCGGCGGCGGCTTGGGGCTCGAAGCTCCTTGAGGTGGGGTGCCGGGCTGGCTGTCTACGTACGATTCCTCAGTAGATGGCTGGAAGTTGGCCAGAGCCGAAGCTCTGTTGACTGCGGCGGCCGCCACAGCGTTCAACTGCGAGTTCATCTCTTCGTCGGTTCGGTTGAAGAGCTGGTGCCACCAGCGAATGTCATCAAGGTTCGGCTTGATGATACGGCCACGGTCCTTAACGTACTCGTCAATGGTGGGGTCGTACTCCTTGTTGGTGAACTCCGGCCTCCGGGATAAGAAGTAATCCCACACCGAAGCTGTTCGCTCGGACGCGCTGGCTTCGGTCCTCTGCTTCTCGGAGTTGTAGAGGAATGTACCGTACTGACAAGAATAGAGATGGTAAATCAGACGGCGAAGGAATCTTTCGTTGAACTCGAATTTGGTTGGGTTCTGGCGGAGAAGCTGATACACACAGTCCAGAAACTGGTGGAAGACGGGACTGATCATTTTCGGAACCGTGGCCTCGTCTTTAGCGACCTTTCCCGTAGAACCCTCAGCGACGGCTTCAAGGTCAGCCGCGTCCTCCTTGTTGGGGTTGAAAAACTGCCTAGCGCCAGTAAAGAGATTCTGGAAGGCATCGTCACGGCCATCGTTGTCGCCAGGCTGCACTGTTGAGCCAGCCATGCCATCCTTCTGGACAGTGAACCAGCTCTCGTGGTTCAGGTGGCCAGATCGAAGCCTAAACATGTGGCCGAACGATACCCAGTCCTTCTCGACCAGGACGATGAAACCCTCAATAGTCCGGTAGTAAGGGTCCAGCAGAATCTGGGCAAGAGCACTGAGCTGACTGGTTCTGTCCCACCCATCGGAGCAGTGGATTAGGACATGAGAGTGCTTAAACCACACCTGCCGGGCAACAATATCAGCTCCGTTCAGGACGGCTTGCGTGTGTCTCAGCCAGCCAGTCGAAGCCAAGGCATTCTGGTCCGGAGACAATGGGGAGATATCGGCGTCTTTGAGGCAGTCTACAACTTTGGCCAGTGAGCTCCTCATGACGTGGATGTTCTCAATGTTCATGAACGCCTTCTTGGCGCCAGGGTATCTATCCATCGGCTCAGATCCCATGCCTTGAACTTGATTGACCATAGCGTTCACAGTAGGTCTAGCATCGACAATCATGTTGGCTTGCTGGGCGCCGTAAATGAGTCGCTTGCCCTTCTCGTCATACATCTTGGGCTCTGCATCCGCAATCGCCTGCTCCTCCAGCCTGGCCTGCTCCGAGAGCTCTGACTCATCCAACGAGTTCTTCTGAGAGGTGTCTGACTGGCTCCGGCGGGGAGGCTGGTCCCTGTCGATGCTGGTCCGGGGTACGGTTGGGGCGAATGAGGCCATGACGAGCTTCTCGTCCTGGATATTGTTCTTTCTGGTGATGCCCGACAAAGGCTGGGCGCTACGAGTGATGGTGCAGTTATTGGCTGGGTGAATATAGCTAAGCACTGGGATTCTGTGTCGCGATCGGTACTCCTTGGCGTACTTCAGGACGTTGTCAGAGATGGAAGAGGGGACCACCAGAGTAGCGGGGTAGGTATCGCAAAAAGTGTAGTCCTTGTTGATGTTGCTGATTCTCCATCCCTTATCTGCTGACTTCTCACTGATGCCCTGGCGGCGGAACTCGGCTTTGGGATCGTAGATCTTCCAGCCATTAACCTGTCTCTCGGCCTTGGAGCCTTTGTGGCTGAAAGCAAATAGGTTCTCAATGGTGCCAAGCTTGCAGGTCCTGAGCTTCACGAACTCAAAGACATCTCGGGCAACGTTGTTGTCTTCAAACATGAAGGTGACAAATATGAAGTCGCGACAACGGATGCGAATAGAGCTATGGATGCCGTGGTTCGGAGGCATGAGTCGGAGGGTGCAGTGCGAAAGGATGGGGTAGGTAATCCATGATTCTCGGTTCTTAGGAGGAGGGGGAGGCTGGCTGTTATTATTGCCGTTGTCCTTGTTCTGGTCCTTAAGGGGAGGCAGCGGTGCGCAGAAAACGAGATGGAAATCGGTGAGTCGCAGAGTGCCGACCGAGGTAAGGCCTCCGTTGATGCACTGGACGTTGTTTACTACCTATAGTTCAGGACGCAACACAGTCAGCTTTGTTTTTTTTTTCCTCTTTCCTTTTTCCATGCTACCAGGGAGCGACTGGTAGAGCATATGCAACTTACCTTCCTGGCCTCCATGGTGAAGTGCTATTGAAGATGATGCTTCTTTGAGCTACTGCAGCATGGCCGCGTGCGAAACGTCTAGAGGGGTTAACGGTTTGTAGGTTGAGAGGTTCACTTGAAGGAGAGCAGCTGAAACGCCGCGCAACTTCAGTGAAGCGGGAATAGGGAAAAGAAAAAGAAAGAAAGGACCGCGATGGAGGGAAGACAAGAAGGGAAAATCAATGTAACCTCGTAGAGTTGAAGTTAAAGAGGTTGCGCAGGGTAAGGTTTGGAAGGTGAAGTAAGGTTGGTAGCGTAGGGGGATGGTTGTCAGGTCGGTGGTCGGCGGTCCAGCAGTTTGGCTGGCGCTTCTGGTCGTTGCAGTGCGGGCAGGTGTGCAAAAGCAGGAAGGAACGGCTGATCTAGGTCCCCACTAATAGCTTAGCGCGGGGCCGAGAACAGAGAGCCGACGTCACGTCTTCCAAAGGGTGTTTGGCTATGGAATGCCAGGGTCTTTATGTTCAAAATCCACCCTCGACAGCTGGATGTCTACAACCTTACTTGGAAGAAATTGATCCCGGTTTTGGTAAGGAATATTCTTTCTAATTTGCATAAAAATAAAAATAGAAGGGAAAGAGACAAGTATACTATGTCTTGTTTCCTAAGAGAGTAGCAATTTAGCTTAGGCATTCCTTCACTGCTGCGGAAAGGGTTGGGTGATTAACCAGCAGCTTGGTCTCAATCTAGTGTAGAACTGCAAAATACCACCCACCTGCCGGCTTCAGCTGGGGGGCCTGTGACTGACTTTCCTTCACTGGCGTGGCCCGGGGGTTGACAACGCAACCAGGGACCTCCCACTCCAACAAGCTGTCCCCCTTGAAACCCCACCTCCGGCAAACGGAGCTCTCTCTCCCGATTCCCGACAGCCAGCCAGCACGTGAAACGTCAGCAGCGGAGAGGTACGTACCTCGGCCGACCACACGCGCCGCGCTGTCAGTGGGCAGGTCACCGCAGCTGGCACACGGTGGAGAATCCTCAACTCGAATGTCCGATAAGGCCAGCACAGACCACCAGAGTCCCCTTATCGCCTATCCTAGGGCACACAGAATTTCAATTTCACGGTCCAAAATCTTGCGAGGCACTGGACGACTGGCGAAGCGGGCTACCTGAACAACCTCATTTCTCAACCCTCTCACCCGCCCCCCCGACTGCGAACGAACCGTCGACACCTCCAACAACCCGTCCCAACTACCCCAACCCTTCTTTTTTTCGACAACCGGGCAAAGAAGTCAAGATGGCTGTTCCAGGCACTCAGATGTAAGCCTTTCCCTCCCCTCCTTCTGTGTTGCGAAAATAAAAGGTTTCATCCCCGCCGCCGCGAAACATTCCACGATCTTGAAGGGGGGTGAAAAGGGGGCGAGAAACTTGCGAGAAGAGAACAAAAAGATTGCGGCGCACGAGGAAATCGCTACAATGGATTGCTAACCAATTCTTCTCAACAGCTCCAAGCGCAGAAAGTTCGTCGCCGATGGCGTCTTCTACGCTGAGCTCAACGAGTTCTTCCAGCGCGAGCTGGCCGAGGAGGGCTATTCCGGTGTCGAGGTCCGCGTCACCCCCACGGTAACCGACATCATCATCCGCGCCACCCACACCCAGGAGGTCCTCGGCGAGCAGGGACGCCGCATCCGCGAGCTCACCTCCCTCATTCAGAAGCGCTTCAAGTTCCCCGAGAACTCCGTCTCCCTCTACGCCGCCAAGGTCCAGAACCGCGGTCTCTCCGCCGTCGCTCAGTGCGAGTCCCTCCGCTACAAGCTCCTCAACGGTCTCGCCGTCCGTCGTGCCTGCTACGGTGTCCTCCGCTTCATCATGGAGTCTGGCGCCAAGGGTTGCGAGGTTGTCGTCTCCGGCAAGCTCCGTGCCGCCCGTGCCAAGTCCATGAAGTTTACCGACGGCTTCATGATCCACTCCGGTCAGCCCGCCAAGGACTTCATCGACTCCGCCACCCGTCACGTCCTCCTCCGCCAGGGTGTTCTCGGCATCAAGGTCAAGATCATGCGCGGCTCCGACCCCGAGGGCAAGGCCGGTCCCCAGAAGACCCTCCCCGACGCCGTCTCCGTCCTCGAGCCCAAGGAGGAGCAGGCCGTCGTCCAGCCCATGTCCCAGGACTACGGCGCCAAGGCCGCTCAGGCCCAGGCCGCCGCCGAGGCGCAACAAGCGGAGCAGCAGGCCCAGGAGGGCGGCGAGGAGGCCGAGGCTCAGTCGTAGGAGGCTGCCGAGCCGCAGGTTTCTTCTCATGTCGTCGAGGAGACTGCTGAGTCTGGCGCCAGCCCGGCTGGTTGGTAAAAGACGTCAGTTGGGGAAGGAAAAAAAAAACTTTTGGTCTGCTTTCCGCTAGCTTCTAGTCTCTATTGTCTACTTTCCCAAAAAATACCAGACAGACTTGGAGATGATAACAATGGGGGTGTGCGCACGAACCAGGCACAAAAAAAAGTTATCGGGAGGACGGGGGTGTGGAATACTACTACTCAGGCGTCTTGATCAACATTTGCATCACTCTGCGAAAGGGGAATTCGGATAGTTGCGACTGGCTTGTAATGGTAGAACAAACCATGAAATGAGCAACGAAATCATTCAAGTAAGATGATGGTGCCCTGCTACTATACCCGCCTCGTCCAAGTGACGGACGCTCGGCGTGCATGACCGATGGGATTGGGTATGAAGGCCTGCTGGAACCGCGTTCGCAATCGAAATCGTAACGGGTCCATGGTGTTCTCAATTCGCCAGGCTCCTGGCTCCGGTCTTACGTCTATGATGCCTTGAATGCTTCTGGACAATGAAGAAAAATGCTAGTCTCTGGGCGAATTGGGGTATGCCTCTTGTAGTCACGCCCTCCCCCATCATCGCCTCCCTAATCGTACAATAGGTGCCTTCGCACGCGGTGCCATAGAACCCCCGATAAACGCCCACCCCTCCCCCCGGGTGATCACTCCCGTGCCGATGATACTCCTCGTGTCGTGGCAGAAGTGAAATAGTGTGGAAAGCTTGCTGGTTCTGGTTTCCTGGTGCTTTCCCTTTCCCTTGCTTAGGGTGCACCTGCACCTTTTCCGTAGTAGGTCTTTGCCTCTTTCATGAATCCGATCATGTCGTGGAGAACTTCTCAAGTCATATGGCTGTGGAGAAAAATGTACAATACTGCCCCCATATCGGGCTCCTAATAAGAAATGCTTGGAGAGGAAAGAAAAAAAAAGGACAATTGCCGCCTCAACGTCTACCCATGCCTAGAGAGTAGACGGTTCCACTGTACCCTCTCATCTGTTTGACCTCTGGTTCTGGAGCTCGATTGTCTCGTTGTATGACTTCGAGTGACCGTTAGCAGATCCGTTCGCTCTATGATGAGCATCGTCGTCGTCGCTTTCCTCGGCTAGATCAGTGAGACCGAACTCGGCACCAGCCTCCTCGTCGTAGGCCCTCATCAAGCCAGTCGTGTCACCGTGGCGACTGCCAATGCTCATTCGGTGGGGATCTTGGCTCCTGCGGGCTTGCATGCTCAGGCGGGTTTGGATGGTGGAGATCATGTCCGTGCCGGTAGCATCATCGCCACCACGGCCGGCAACCAGTTTGTGTCCGTTCGGGTCGGATCTCGAGAGGTTCAACAAGTAGACGCCAGTGAAGGTAACGAGGAAGCCGCAGAGAAGAGATATCGTGTTGACCGTATCGGTGGTATTGAAGCCGCCAAACAAAATGAAGGACGCACAAAGAGTCGCCGTCGTGAAGGTTACATAGTAGAGGGGATTGACACTGCGTCGTCTTTCGTTAGCGCAGTCCGAAGCGCGCACTACGGGACGGCTATACTCACATGTTTGTGGGGAACTGGGCAAGTGCCTTGTTAAAGTAGTTCATTTGCGTCAGGATGCAAACGGTCGTCAGGATCATGAAGACGTAGGTCGAGGGGTGGCTGAACTGGTTGTTTCCGGCGAACGTGAGCTTTAGTGCGATTCCGAAAGCCTTGACAGACATGACCGAAATTGAGCCGACCGTCGAGCAGATGGAGAGGTAGATGATGGGGTTCTTCCGTCCGTGAACCGGCGCGACCTTGTAAATCATGAAGACGGCGAAGGAAGTGACGGCAAATGCATACAGCAAGAAGCCTGGGGTGGCGTTAGTTATCAGTTGCATTGCGCTCTACCGCTGGAGCTGCAGACTTACCAGGCTGGATGGCGTAATGCAGGATCTGGTCAATGGTCTGGATGTCTTCATCTGGGGGCGCATGAAGAACAATGATGACGGCTCCAATGAGACAGATTGCGCTTCCCAGGCGGCCCAGGACACCGAGCTCTTCCTTCAAGAAATATGATCCCAGAACGGCTCCGATGAGGACAGATAAAGCTCCGAGAGGGGTGACGAGAATGGCTGGCGCGAAGGCATACGCAGCAAAGTTGCAGATTTCCCCGAGGACCACTGAGCACCTGTTAGCGACTTGCAGGCGTCAGTCGAGGGGCTGGACCGATGCAAACTCACAGGTCGAAATTCCAGCCCACCACACCGGGCTCTTGAGGTACACGTATCCGTCGCCTTCGAAGCCATGACGCTCTTCCGCTTGCATGAGACCCTACGGTGGAGGGTTAGCTTCCACACTTGATAATGGTAATCGACGTTGCCAGGGCGGCCGCAACATTCGGAAATCGCGCGTACCTTTTTCGTCACAACGAAGCTGATACCTGCAAGACGGCACGGTTAGTGGTGGTTCTCGAGTATCTTTGAAAAATTGTATGCATACCAATGGCTAAGCTGGACGCCATGGCGAGGCCGAGGCCAATGTATCTGTGCGGGTTTGATAGTCAGCTAACTAGAGCCCCGAGACCAGGCGGAAGTGGTGGCATCTGGATGGCGACGAGGATGCCGGCCAGGTCGCAAACGTACTTCTCATCTAGCATCATCTTGCCGAAAGTGAGTGCGCCGACTGCGACAAAGGTGGGAAAGAGTGACGGTGTTTGTTAGGCGGATGCGCCGTGGCGAGGCGGTCGTTGTAGAGAATGTCGTACCCCGTGAAGGGAAGCTTGCGAGGCTCGCGCCGGGCGAGGTAGAGCGATTGGAGTGATGGCCGGACCTCGTCAGCAGCGACACATGGGAATATGGACCCTGGGGACACTGGTGGTGGCAGTAGCTGTAAGATCTGGAATCGAACGCGATGGCGGTCGTCGTCGTCGTCTTCGCCGTCGTGGTGGTCGAGTTGGAGAATCGGGGCCTAGAGTGAGGTCGAAGGAGTCGTGGTGGTGTGCGAGTGTCGGAGTCGAGAAAGGTGGGTTGGCGCGAATGGGAGGCCGAAAGGGGAGGGAGGGCGTTTCGTGGGATTTTGCAAACTGCGAAAGTGGTACGTAGCGGATAGACCACAGATGGGTACCTATCTTTCCAGGTTTATTCCTGCGGTAGTACTGCGCCCAACCGACAGCACAAGGCGAGAGACGGACAAAGCAAGGTAATAGTAATGTAAAGCGAGGATGAAGGTAGTTGTGGTTTTGGTACTTGCTGGGAGTGGTGCAGTGCAGTATGTGGTCCCGTAGCAGAGAAGGTAGTTTACGTAGTGGGTAGGAGCGTGGTGGAGGAATGCTAGCTGGCCAGATAGGGACAGGTTTGAGTTTCAGAGCCCCCTGGGGAGAGGGTTAGAGAGGCGTGCCCTTTCAGGTCTGAGAAGTCACCCGCTCAGTGGTTTGCCTTGGAAATAAGTCATGTACCTAATGTACGTGTGCGACAAGGGTGCGCGTTCTCTTTTCGTGTTGCCCGTTTTTTACGAGTTCTGAACAGCGAAAGTGAGCAGAGAGTCAGGTACCGGACAAATAAATTCCAACAACTGATCCTGGAAACACCCCAGTGCCTCTGCACAAAGACGGGAACATGGTCGCGATGCCAAACATGTTGAGTGCGGGTGGGTCCATTGTACCTGTATCCGTACCTGTGTTGAATATCGACCTAGCGGGAGGGACGAGAGGGGCTGAGGCCGACCGGACAGGGAACAGCGCGTTGGGGAAAATAGAGAGAGAGAGAGACCTGGCCAGGCTGTCCACTTTGGAGGGGAACAAAGTACGGAGTACACTAGGTACCTACTAACTCTGCTCAGCCTGCTGCGGCTGGGGCGGCTGGGCTATGGACATGATGATGATGTGAGGTGGCATGCATGGCCTGCTGTCGTGTAGCAGGAGTGCGACGGGGACTAGAAGCGCTGTACGATTTCTGGAGATAAGACCATGCAGGTCAGACACGGACAGGCACTGCAGACGGCGGGCGGCGAGTGGCGGGATCAGTGGGATGGAACGTTCATCGCATGCGATTTGGACAAAAAGGCGATTCCTGACACAGCCAAATCTGCAGGGACGTCAAGCCAAGCCTCTTGGATTTTCGAAACTTTTCCCTCTCGTCTTCGTCTGTGTCGTGAAGTAGTCTCCGCTCGCTGCACAAGATCGAGACGAAGAAGGGGGAGAGGGGGGATCTCAGTATTCCGTATCCCTTCCATCCATCTTAAGCCTCTCCGCCTGTTCTCGCGTGATCTTGAGCGTTCTGTCCTGTGTTACCTAAAGGCGATGGCGCCGACGCTGAGGTCATCGCAGAGGTAGGGGTCTCGGAACATCACCTGGACTAGCGCAACTCGACTCAACTTCCGACAGGGGTGACGGCGCGTAAGGGGGACTTGATGTGTGAGGTCCCGCTGTTCTCTCCGCAGGAGGGCCACACAGTTTAGCAGCGCTCTCCTGAAGTATCAGACTGACCAGTCTTGAGGGGGGTTTGAGGCTGCCAGCCTAGGCTCTCCTGTCACACTGAACTTGTGGCGATCAAAGCCCCCTGGACCGCTTCCGTTAGGATCTAGGTGCGCAATCCGCCTAGGTATTGTTGGGAACAGCAAGCACACACATGCTAGTCATGGCTTAGGTAATTGTGTAGCCTTCAAGGATAGCACAGTGCTCTTCTCCCCCTGTCGAATCTCCATACGAAGATCCGATCCCACAAAGAGGGAAATCGGCATTTCTATTTTTCTCTCACAGCCCAAGTGGGGTCTTGTTGAAACCGGTTCATTACGAAATGGCTCGTCTATGTGTAAAAAGTAAAAATAAAAACCACCACACAGCCACATTTGTGTATTATTAGTGTGAGTTATCCTCACCAGCAAACGGGAATCTCTCCAGTCTGCTTCGTCGATATGGGCCACTACAGCAGCCAGTGGCTGCCCAGGACTCCATGCCGTAACATAGGCAATTTTCCCCCTTGGAAAGTTGCCATATATTGGCGTGGGTAATATTGCCATGGCACAGAGGAATGTAGAGGCGCCATTCTATGCTAACTCGTGACCAGCGCCTTCCTGTCCACCGCCGCTCCAAAACGCGACCATACGTCCCCTCAGCATGCCTCGTGCTCTGTGTACCCATGTCCAATCTTCTCCAACAGACACTCTCCCCGGATCCCACGTTCGGCTCAGACGAGTTGCAAACAACCTACCAACAAGTGCCATGCTGAGGGTCTCGCACAGCAGATATGTATTGTGAATTGCCCCTTGCTATGAAGTATTCCCCCCTTTAATTGTGGGGGGGAAACGAATCCACCAACCTGGCGGCGCGTGAGCGACGGCAGGGCCCCGCATAACGGTCGTCGTCGAAACAAAACCTGCCATCAGTTTGTCCCTCTCATCGGGGAGGGGATTGATTTAAGAAACTGATACACGGAAAGAGAGCACGCAGGGATTCCCGCGCCATACTAGGTAATCCAGAGGCAAAACAGTCGACAAGTCGGGGAAAACTCTACATCAGCAGCATGGGCTCGTTCACCACCCATACAAACCTTGGGCTCGTAAACTTCCATCAATGGCAGTTCGTTGAAGATCTCGCCTGCGGCCTCGCCGCCTCAATGCCTCTAGCTCAACTTAGTCGCCGGGTTCGGGTCGAACCATACACATATTGTGCTATGTATTGGAGGGGGGTAAGGAGCTCGAGCTTCGAATAGCCCTCTTCCTCGCAGGGTTTCCCGAATGTCCCGGAATCAATCGTCATGTCGCTAATCTGCGTTCCTGGTCTGTTGTAGTCATGAACCACACATAAGCGCTCCAACATTGGATGAAGAAGAAAAAGACCGGGGTAAAGTGCGATGGAATGAGTCCTAGGTAGAATCTTGCACCATGCATGCACCATGCAGTCGTCTCATCCTGCACCGTATGCTCAGACCGCGTCCCAAATCTACTGCCGTCAATGGCATCTCAGCACGATCCCTTCAAAATATCAAACAAAAGTTGTTTGATGGCTGCTGTTGGCCGACATCCTATTAGGCTTCATGAGCCTTTGTTTCACGTGATACAACCACAGGCAAGCCGAGGCTTAGGCTTGCAAGGAATGGTTCACTTCCGGCAGATTGACTCATCAAGGGCTTCAGCACGACCCGACCTACTACAAATCGATAAGCAAATGCGTGTTCTTCATTAGGCAAGTTTTTTCTGTCGTATGCTGCTTCCTCGAAGGGCTCTACGCATCAGCTTGGTGAAATATGGCACCCTGATTCGCCTCCTTCTAAGAGCTCATATGAGACAAAGGCAGCCGGTCACGAGAACTAGATACCCTGATGACATCTAGATACTGATCACTCCCGCGTCTTTTCGCAGGAAGACTTCATACTTCACCTGGCTGAGCAGGCCTTCTTGGCGCCTTGTTCATGTCCTTTCTCCGACACGATTTGGTTACAAGAAACATCAACCGAGTCAGTGGGTCTGTCCCATTGCTTTCACCCCCATTATACGCCAAAATCCCACCAAAATCGCAAGAGAATAGACGGGGTATCGAGAAGATTCGGGGGGGGCTGTAACGGAAGGAGCGTGTCGTCCGTTCAGTACGCCAGGTCGCCGCCTGGTTGGTAATTGTTGAATGTGAAAGCTGCAAGTCAGTACGAAATTCAATGTCAGAAGCCTACCTTGGGTGGGCAATTGTGGTGCCCCAAGCGAGACACCGTGATGGTCGTATAGGACACCATGCCGAGTAACAGTCCCGTAGTTGTAGTTGCACCGTGGGATTCGAGCTCGCCAAGATGACCAACAATTGGGTCCGAAAGTCCAGCAGACCTAAATCCTATCTGCGTCGGTGGAAAAGCCATAAAAGGGGTTAGTTGTGAGGATGCTTGAAGCTCAAGACCGACGACGCTTGACGTCTAATGCATGGTTAGTCTGGCAAATTCCGTGATTTTTATAGACATGAGCCATACCTTTCTGAGCTTCGTCATCCAGCATGTCGTCCACATCCGATCTCTGGCGTTTGCCAGAAATCGAAGGAGACTTCGCAACATCATCGCCTTGGCCAGGAAACTCCCTCCAATCAATTTCTGCCAGTTCGTCGTCCTGGCCATGGACCTCAGCGCCATCAATTTCGTTTTCAGGCAGGTCGGCATTGAGATCAAGCTCATTGTCGTACGTGGCCTCTTCATCGCCGTTCAGGGTCGATGTCGCACTGGTATTGGGGGTTACCTTGTCTGTTGGGTTCACGTCGACACCTTGGGCAATCTGGTTCAAACTGTGCGTGAGATCCTCGTCTTCTGGAAAGGCCTGGGCGTCCTCGCCAGCGTTGAACGCATCGGCTTCTTCCGCATCCCACACGAGTGGGTTAGATGCATCGACTTCTGGAGCTTGAATTATATTGTCAGCGTCTGTGGTTGAAGAAAAAACCATGCTGATATCTGAATGAGAATGCAAATGGCGTAGGGTTGTGCGGGAGTGGGATCCTTTGTTAAATTCCAGATACAAATGGTTTGGCTGAGATTGCGTTTGTCGTTGGGCAGA